ACATCGGACTTGGACTGATTTTAAACTGAGTTTTACTGTGTGTTTGTTTATTCCACATTGATATAGGGGAGGGTTGAGATCTGAATAAACATGTTTAAACTGGCTGCATTTTTGCACCTCTAGCTTTTGTCAGTCTTGTGTGTTTTCTTCAATTTTGGTTCATTTGTTTGTTTCTGAGTTTGGTGTGGCATCCATTTCGCTCAACTTAAGTATACATTATTGTTTAGGGACCAGCTGAAGTTGTATTGCTAATTATCTATTATGGTGATCAAAGATAATCTCAGGTTATTGCGAACCCAATGAAAGTTTTCCACAGTGCCATCTCTATCTGGTCAAGGTATTTAAACTTTTGTAAGTTCACCTGTCCTATTGAATAAATACAATAGCTATTGTTCTCTGTGTAGTTTATTTACTTAGCACATACTTACAACTTCTCGTCCAATCAAATTGCTTATATTTGCCTTCTAATTTTCATAGTACATACTTTTCCCGTGTACTAAGTAACTACGCATGAATGACCACAAGGGTAAGATCATAATCAAGATATTTAAAACAAAAATTGCCACTGGCTATTTTGAAATAAAATGCTGTGTTCCAAATTAAATTAAATAGTTTGTAATTAGTTTTCACGTTGATTTTTAAATATCCTGCAATTAAAATCTTTGGATCTAAAAAATGTTTTTGACAATTGCAAATTTCTTTCATTTAAATAAAGGGTAATACATATGGTTCTTTATACCTTGATTAGAGTACAACGATATCTTAAAATTATGATAATGTATCATCCATGCAATTACTTTGTACACAAAAAAGTGTGTACTATGAAACCTTGTGAAGGGAAATTAAAGCAACTTGATGATAATTTTTTAAACTTTCTTAAGGAAGGTGATCTATTTCGTCATGAATTGATTGATTTATTGATTATTGGTTGCTTAATTTCCAGTGGCAAATATTTCATGCATGTTCAGGACGATGTCATGAATTGAAAAACTGTGATTATGTCTGAAGATAATGTGCCACCTATATATATATATAAACGTATTCTGATAAATCTTTTAGTTTTTATTTTGAAATAAGAAAAAAAAGAAAAAAAACACAAAACCTAAAATCTCTGATCTATTGGTAGTTGCTTTTTAATGCCTATCTGCTAGACTATATCTATGGGGACAAACTATCTATATGTTTCAAATTTATTATAGCTTCAGTTTTACTGTGAAATTAAAAAATGTTTTCAAAACATGTATAGCTTCCACTGCAATTTAATTATTGCCTGCTTTTGGTCAATTTATTTGGTCATCTTACCATGTAAAAAGAACATGTTTAGTAAAACACCGCTTTATATCAATATACATACTTACACCAGCAGCTACCATCTTTTCATTCTGGAGTCAAGGGCCTTTTGAAATAACATATTTTACAATGATACTAGTGAGTAGATTTACAAAACTTCGTTAATGAGCTCTGTTTTACAAACACCTGTGATACAAGTAGTCAGTCAAAATAAACTATCAATAGACCAATTAAAAGATTACTCGAGTTGTAAATATGTGCTAAATTGGATAGTCTATGAAAAGGTATATACTATGAAATTAAGAGCTCGGGGCAAGCCCCTCGCTCTAAATTTCATAGTATATACCTTTCCATAGACTAACCTAGACTGGGACCTTTAAATTTATTCTAAGAGAAATCTATCACTCATTTATTAATTTACTTGAGTCATGAAAATTTTTTTCTTATATAATTATAGACAAAAATACTTTTTTTATACTCATTCACTGCCTGTGATGATGTATTTATTTAAAATTGATAATATATTATCAATCTTTTCAATATAAACGCTGATTTAATCATAAAAATTTGTTTTCTAACAAAAGTTTAAGTAATGTTCCCATTGAAATTTGCATTTTTTTGTTTTTTTTTAGTTATAGAATACATTAATAAGTAGGTCTTAATTTGAACATCGTAATTTTCAAGTTTTTATTTGTCAAACACACAAAAAAACAAATTCTAAAGTTTTGTCAGAAATCAACATTTATTAACGTTTGAATCACTGTTTACATTCAACAAATTGAAAATAACTTATTAATATTGAATAAATACAACATCACATGCAGTTTTGGGTATAAAACATGTAGAAGATTTTTTTTTACTCAGGTAAATTAATCAATGAGTGATAGATTTCTCTTAAAAGAAATTTATAGGTCCCAGAGAATAAACTACACAGAGAACAATAGCTATTGTATTGATTCAATAGGACAGGTGAACTTACAAAAGTTTAAATACCTTGACCAGATAGAGATGGCACTGTGGAAAACTTTCATTGGGTTCGCAATAACACTACCAAGATGAAAGTTAAAAATCAATACAGTCAATGACCAGAAAATTAATTACAAGTGTATTGTACAGATTAAAAATTTCACAATCCTTTTAAATCCCAGAGGTCATAGTTTGACATGTGTGCATTTGTTCAAGATAACTAACACAATTCAAATGCTTTTGATGACATTGGGACTGGAAATTTGGTTCGATTCAACCGAAATTTCAACTCATCAAGAGTCAAAATACATATATTTACAATGGAACAAAGTTCGGATCACTTGAAAATTTCAACACATCTGAATTTTCGAATCAACTGAGTTTGAGAAAAAGAGAGTTAACTGTATTTCTAAAAATTCTTTTCGTTAACACAGTACATTTTTGTATTTACAAAAAAATGTATGAACATGCCATGGTCTCTTCCAAATAACAGTAAAACAGATGTTGTAAAGCAACATCTGTTTTTTAAAGTTTCATGTTTCTTTCTCTCAATTTCATGTTTACATTATTGATTATGGAAATTATATACATATATAAAATCATTACGTTGTGCTCTTTAATTATTTTCCATCTACACTTTCTTTAATTTGGGCTTATCAAACATCTTTACACTATTAATACACACACTAATAAATCTCATTTCTGGGTTTTTCATCATAAAAGGAATACACTGTATATATGTTTTCCATTTTATTTAATTTTTCTGAAACAATTTAGTCCTGTCTATAAATTGCTTGTCCTGATTTTACAGGAACTATTTCTGTTAAACATTAAGTGATCAGTAATCTTTGATTTTTTCTCCCCTCCCAAGTTTCAATATTTCAGCCAAATCACCTGTTCCCTCTGCATTTTGGCCCTGGCATGTAATATATATATATATAAATCATATCTATCCTATATTATATAATGTATAATTAATCGAATTAAATTTTTTAGAGCTAAAACAGCTAAATTTTGTTTTATTTCTAATAGTTTAATAGTTGAGTCTTCCTCAACTTCATTTAAGGTCATAGTTTGCAGCAGAGACCAAGGATTTGTATATAGTGAGACTCACTATACAAACCCTTGCAGAGACATATCATACACAAGTATAATATGTCTCTGTTTGCACATAAAGAACTATAAATTAAAAATTAAATGTTCCAATTAATGTCATAAATTTCATGTATAATGCATCCTTAATGTAATATACATGTATATTATAGGTAAGCAATTTTGATTCAATAACCTTTAATTGGGATTGATCACAGGTGTTAACAATGATATTAAACAGTGATTAACAATTTGACAGCTTGTGCTAATCACTAATTCAATGCCTTTGATGCAAGAGTTAAGGAGGGAGATAATTAATTTCATAAAATTGATTACTTTAAATACCTATTGATAAATGTTTTTGTTCTTACATTGCTGAGTTTGGTATGAGTTGATCTTTGATTATTGAATTAACTTAAAACAACTTAGAATTCTTATATGGCAATATCCTAAGAACTGAATTCTCTAGACAATGAGGAAGGATATATCATACATGTATATGGATGGCTGATTAACATTCAGTGGCAAATATAAATGAATATTCAGGAGGAAAATATGCTAATGTGATATATATATGAACACTGCTTTGTATTAGACCCAAAGGCTGACATGCCATCTTACCCAGACACATCATTATGACTCTGAGCTGACCAATCTCTTACTCCTGAATGCTGGGTGCTTAGGAAAAAAGCTTCAAATACAAATGTACCTATTTAAAGTCTTTAGTTTGCCCCGGCCAGGGATCGAACCCATGGCCTCCCACACTCTTTAGTTAACTTTGAATGCAACCAAGAGACAACCAAGGGTGTTAAGAGAAAGAGATAGAATAGTCCATTTAACACTAAATAAATCAGGACATATTGGAAAATAGGGAGGGCGAAACAACTACGGGTGCAAACGCCAAAGGAAATTAGGCGACAGACCGAGATTCCTTGTGTACAGGCCCAACTATATATGGATTCTATTATACACTATAAATAATGGAATCAACAATAGCAAATACAGTTTTTGATTCATTATTCCTCTTACATGTTATATTCATCATCTTATGAAGAGGAAGTGTGGCAAGACGAATCGCACGAAACACTTCGTATCCATATGGCTGTAGAACCTTCATTACGTAATTTCCAGTTGGTTCATGGTAGGAGGCTAACATAAAAACGCAAAACAAGACAGTAAATATGATTAAAATCACTTTGAACATTAATTTCACACCCTGGCTAAATCTTAGCCATATTTCCATTGATGTAATCCTGTTCTCGTTGTCCCTTGGGATGTCAGCCTCATTTTCTAGTGCTTTGTCAATACATGCGTTGATCTCATCTGTTGTCATGCCCCATTCTGAACCAAGTCGTTTCAATTCAGAGACATTCCTTTTCAAAAAGAGCATAAATTCGACTGCTTCCGTGTCCATGTTGTCAGTAAATAATGTCCTCGGGATTCTTCCGTGAATCAGTAAAAACTCCTGAAAGCTTTCGAAATCAACAAAAACAAATGATAACTTATAGTTTTCATTTTGCATTTCTTGGTATCGTTCAACGAATGATTTGCAAGTAAAATATCAAATTTCTATTCATTAAACCAACTAAAAAAAATATTAAAGAAAAGAATCATCTACAGTACAAATATAATGAATGATAACAACATCATTTTTATTGATCTTTTATGATTTTGATAAACAAGCATGGCGAATATTGACAGCCTCCGGTTGCAGAAAAAGTTCCCCAGTTTACCGGAGACTGAAACTTCTGAGCAAGTTCAAGAAAGAGTTTTGAAATTAGCAAGGTAAATATAGCTTGAATAAATAGAATGGTTTAAGCCATTGTCATTTTACCTAATTTTTACAACTATAAAGTGCCTGTGTTTACGACGACGTTCGCGTAAATAAAATATTTTGATGCAGATTGCATTCAATCCTTACGTTCTAAATTAAGACTGTATTTACAGTATAAGATTAAAAAAAAAACCTGCTCGATTGGTTAAATGTTCAATATTCACTAGAAAAGGGTCTAGTACGTTAATGTAATTAGGTCAAATAAACGAAGGTAATTGAGAGCTATTTTTAGATGCCGTAGCGAACAGCGGAGCCGCGGCAAGAGTTCACGTTGATTGACAGATGAATACAATTATAAATATCCAGATGTTTATCCCCAAGGCGTTGTGTGTAGACTGCAGTTATTAAGTGTGTGAAAATCTCATGTTACAAAATTTTATTTAGCTGTTGAGTAAATGTAACAGTGAGATATACACGTTAAGTAATGTGTGTGAATAGAGCTGGTATAATTTGAGGTAAAACACATGATCACATTGATACATAGTACATGTATACTAACATTTTAATATAATAATTCATTTCCCTGTTGACATAAAATTCAATTTTATAATCAGTTCATTTAAATCACTGGCACTTAGGTACACTTACAGCATTGTACATGGTAGCAAATTAGAATTTGTATATCCATGAATGTGGGTAGCCGCACTGTGCAGGGTTTTTATTGTGTGTTTTACTTGTACAACATATGGTCTACAAAGGCAAAAGTCGAGATTTGTGCTCACGTTCGGCTGGTATTGTGCCTGTTCAAAGTCAGCTATTATGAAAATATGTTGTTCGTTGCTGCTTGTCTAAATGTTTATATGCATCTGTTTTTTCATCAGACAGAGCAGGAAATGCTGCGCAGACCTTCAAAAAGTTGTCGCCAGAAAAATTATCCTTTTTATTTCTCTTTTTTTTGGACATGTATTGCATTTTGTTATGCCTTCATACATACATGTGTCATATGAAATTGATTCATCATATGCATTTTAGATTAAAAACTTTCGATTAAAGGTTTCTATCTTCATCATTTACCCTTCCAATAAAACCCTTTATAACTTTAATAACAAGCAAAGCAGAACATAGAAATGTGTTTAAATTGAAACAGTAAGAATTTCATTTGTTTTAAAAAGTAGTAAATAAAACATCAATAAGACTTATTTTACCTCTTTTGAGTTTGTGGCAATTATTTCGAAATTGTTCAAAAAGGTGATAATGACCAGATGATCAACAGGTGCTTGTTTTGGTCAGTCAGCTGATAATTTGTTTACACAATATAAAGAGTTTATCAGTGACATTTATAATTTTTGATAATCAAAGGAAATTGAAGCCATAGATATAGAACAGGTTATTTGCAATTGCTTGCAGGTGACAACACAATAGCTCACCTGGATCAATGGTCTCTGATATGAATTGTATTACCATTACAGTTAAGCATGAATATTTTTACATTGGGACAATAGTGGCAAAAGAAATATTGCTAGAAGCTGGAGGAAGGGGCACCTAAAACCTGGGGGGGGGGGGGGGGGGGTGATCTCAGGTGCTTTGGAAGGGTAAGCAGATTCTGCTCCACATGTGGCACCTGTCGTGTTGCTCATGTAAGTACAAACCTGGTGATAAATCTAATTTGGTAGATCACATTCAAGGAAAAGAGTACAGGATTGTGGTAAAGACAATTGGAACATACCCTACGTCATCCGTGAAACAGATATTCCATAACCATGATAACAGTCAACCAACTTGTGATGACGTCCGTAAAATTAACAAGTAAATTTGACCACCCTACAATAGACTTTCAATAAAAATGCCTTTTAAACATACATATTTCATTATTACAATGTAGCTCAAAAAGATATTTATAATGAAAAGAAAAATTTACAACTCTTCTTTGTCTGGCCTTGATAGTGTCAAAAAGCGAGATTTGGGCATCCCGTTTTCAGGTGGTGTAAAAAAAATTGTTAGGTCAGTTTAAGGGAAACCACTTATGATAAATCAATTATATTTGGTATGCAGTTGTATAAGCATTGTCGCATTTCCATTGAGATTATTTGGCCCCACCCCTCAGTCTTGGTGTATTGGCTTTAAAACAATTTCATACATTGTAGTTTGAATGTTAAAGTTTGTGATTAGGTCAGTTTATGGGGAACAACTACTGGTATAAGGCCAATAAAGTCTATGATAATTGGTATTCAGCAATATCGTCCTTCCCTTTGCCTATACCACCATGCTCAGTCACTCCATAATTCTTGTATCACGTCTTTGAGATGTGAGCAGACATTATCAGCAACGTCACAATGTTTGAGGAGAAGTTATCAGGGACGTCACATGTGTAAGGAGATGTTATCAAGCTTACTTTTGTCAAGCGTAAAGCTGTCTAAAGGAGGGCCAAAAAGGTTCTCATTGTGCGTCGTGGCTGATATTTTATGATATCAATGGGTAGAAAACCCGTTCATCTATACATTTAAGCATGGCACATCTCATTTCCATATGGATTATTTGTTCCGCCCCCCTTAGTCATGGTCTATTGACTTTAAAACTTGGGCATAGTTTTAATGTTAAATTTAAAATTAAAAAAAAAGTGGAATATATTTGTTAGACGTCCAGTCTCTAATCAACGTCTGTTCCTCAAATCAGATGTCACATTTTAAAATTAGTGTTAAATATTTTTACATCCATTGTGATGTCATGTTTTATTAAAAGGACGACTGATCAATCGGGTCTCCTCTCATCGATGTCCCATTATCTTTTGAAGATTTATTTTTAGTTGATCTTTGTTTATATTATCTGTATGGTTTTGTCTTTGTTTAAAGCTGCTTAAAGAAACTAATTGTTTTCTTATATCTTTATCAAAATAAAAGAACATACATCAGAAAATAACAATAAGATAACCACCAACATCAACTTATATGTACATGCATATTAATATCTTGGTGGAAAAAGTTCATCCTCTCGATAAACATTGTCGTACTCCTTTCTTATTCATATGTTCAATAAGTGACATATGGATAAACGACAACGAGACAACAACACAACAACAAAGATAACCTAAAGACATCTAGAGGGCAATATACAGTCTCAAATAATAGACTTAATAAAAAAGTAGTCAGTTGTTGAAAAGTATTATTACTTGGACTCTGATAGATTTAAAATCTTATATTTTTCAACAACTTTTTGAGTAAAAGTTTTAACCCGCCATTTAATAAAGTTGTGATCTCATTGTGGCAAGTCTGTAAAAAGGACGTCGATTTGAGAACAATAATAAAGGCGTTGATTAGAGGGGCATAGAATTGGCCTACGATTTGGATTCTTATTTTATTATAACGTCAGATTTGGAAGTTGATTTTAAGGACAGACATTGATTAGAGACTGGACATTGATCTGAGTCTTACATATTTAATATACTTGAATGGCTAAGTTTTATAAAATACGTGTTCATGGACTTTCTTTTAAAAGAAAATCTGTTATCTTATCACAATCCTCAGAAATATTGAATTATGGTCTTCCCGTACTCTAATTCACCGATAGCTTTTCCATATGCAGTGACCTTAACCACAAGACCTCGCATCAGTCTTCGGCAACCTCATAGAGCAAGCGTTAGGGAAAAAACGTGTTGAACAAAAAGGTAAACAAAGAAGGAAGTCAGATGTTTTAATTGATTCTGAAAGCAAAAATTTTAATACAGCATAATTAACAATGACAAAGTTTAATTTACTAATAGAAACTCATGGAAAACATCGCTCTATTGTACATGTATGTCTATCTTCTCACTTATTTTGAGTGTTCCATGATTCTGTGTTAATTGTTTATTCAGGTTACGTTAGGTTAACTTCAGCAAAAGAACAGGAAAGTTAATGAGCAGGGAAAGTTTTCGCTGAATGAAATATTTTTTGTCGATTATATGTAAAATAAATGTAAAAAATCGTGCAAAGGGGACTTAGTTTATTATATATATACATGCATTGGTTCAATAATTTCCTTAACATTATAATTTCAAGAAACTCATTTCATATGACTTTAAGGAGAGTGCATGTTGACCTCTAGCATGTGCTAGATGTCTTTTTGTTCTTTTTGTTAGGTTGCTTTTATTCATAAACACATCATGTGACATGGTCATTTTGTATTTTAAACGTAATTAGTTATCACTTGGCACATATTTTCTTTAAACAGAATCTTTTGATGTGTGTATAAAAGATTAAAATTCCAATAAGATATGGTGTATTAATTAGTGTTTTTATATGACAGGATTAATTAGCTGCTATGGTGTTTCCATCATTTGTATCCAGAATCGATCAGATGGCAAGTGTCATTCAGTTAATGATATCGTTTTTACATAGAATATTGATTTTTTCTCATTTATAATTTTAGAGTAACAGTATAAAGGATGTCTGATAACAAATTACAGTTTCCGCTCACAGTGTGCACTGATGGGGAAGAATTTATTATCAATAAAGAAGAAGATCCAACAAGTCCAAATCAGTTTCATCATGATTATGATGGGGATCGTGGAAGATCAAAAAGGAGGCGCAGATGTGGGCAGTGTGGACCATGTCAGGTTAAAGAAAACTGTAATAAATGTAATTTCTGTCTAAGAAGGGATGTTCTAAAACAGACTTGTATATACAGAAAATGTGTTTATTTGCGATCAAAGCCAAAACCGTATCCAAGTCCTCAAGGTGGGCAAGACTTAAATAATGTTACTTCGCCCCCACCAAGTCAGTCTGTTGTTAAAAATAATAGAACACCACCAGCAAGCAGTCTGCAGGACGGACCAATTGTTTCCGGGCATAATGCCCAAATATCACAGACATCTGCTGGAACATTTAATCCATTTACACCTGTCAGTTCTTCAGGTGGACCCAACTTTTCATCTAGTGATTCATTATTTAAACCACCAGTTCCACAATTCTCTCATCCGTCTCAATCACAGATGGGTATAAGTTCTCCAGAAAATGTATTACCGCCGCAAATACCTCCATATAATCCACAGACTATGCCACAAATTCATAGCGGCCACAGTTCAATGACAATGCCACCTTGTGTAAATGACAAAATGCTGCCACGAGCGTCACAAGAAAGTTCATCATTCTCTAGTCCTTTTAATCATCAACATGTTCAAAATGATCCATTAAGATACGACACTTATTTCAATCGCTTTAGTCGCACAACACCAGCAAATGATCCACGAACAAACCTTCCATCACCATGTATGCATCATCCAGGATTACCATCACCTTATCATGGGACCACAGGCCATGTTGACAGAGGCCCTTATAATGGACATTATGTAAGACCACCAACTATTCCACCATATTTACCACCAAATTCTAACATGCTGAGACATTTTCCATCACTACCTCAGAGGTACCCTATGCATCCGCCCCCTCCCCCTACAGGGAGATATGGTGATGGGTATTCCGAACCCTCACAATATCAAGCTGCATATAACAGCTATGGACTGCAGCCAACAGATATGCAAATGCCTATTCATGGTATGTCTCATCACCATCCATTTAATACATTTAGCAATATAAACCGCTACCAACCTCCACAGTATGAACAATCAAGTTCGTGTCCAAAAAACGTCTGTGGCCCTCCTGCATTTCCGAGTTTAGCTTTGGGTACACTCCGGGTGCAGGAGAGGCCTCAAGGTATCCACAATTTCAGATGTAACCCATTCTACCGACCGTTGCCTTGGGAAAAACATTTCTTTCATCCAATTCATCGACCAAATTCTGCTATGAGTGATGATAGGAGCAAAATGAGTTCTACTTCTTCAGGATTTGAATGTGATGTGATATGTATAGACGACATGCAAATGAATGCATATATTCGATCTGATGGTTGTAATAGTATTGAAATAGAAATAGAAGATCCTCAGTCTCCAAATGAACAAAATAAATATGATGATGTTAAAAAAGGAATATCAATTGAACCTGATGTCAACTGTAACTATAAAACTAAACTTTGTTCACCAAGAAAGATAACTGTTACAGGATTAGTTACAATAAAACAGGATTTGGGAGATGAAGGTCTTCTTCAGCTAGATATTCCTGGGAACAAGGTCACCTTGGAGGAAAGTGCATTAGATTTTTCTTTAGCCAAATATTCATGTAATATTATTGATTTATTGAAGTTTATTGAAACTGAACCAAGAAATGAGTTAGAAACACTTAATGAAATTCAGTGTAATTAAAACAAGGTCTTCTGAAAAGAAAGTCCATTCACATTTTTTTCGCCAAATATTTATCTTATATTGTTGATTTTAAAAACTTTTTGAAACTGAACATAGAAATGAGTAAGAAACACAAAAATGTAATTTAATTAAATTTGTATTAGCAAGAACAAAAATCAAGATCATAACAACAATGAATTATAACCTGTATGAAATCTATTATGTTTCTATAGAACAGAGAATTACAACTCCCATATGAAAACAATTTTTTTTTATATAAATAACTTAATGAGGATGATATATGTCCAGTTCAATTATTTTCTCCTTTAACCCATGTTTTGATGTTTTGATTTTTCAGGATATATATCTGTGTCAATATTTTCAACAATACAAAATTTTCATACAAAAGTAAAACCCTGACTACATGCACTACCACCATATAACCATGATTATATATATTTCAAATTTTATTTTTAGTTCTGCTGGCCCATAAGACCACTTTTTGTCAGTGAAATTCTTAAAAAAATCTTCTCTGATACATGTATCACCAAAATTGATCATCATGATCTATGGTTGTGTAGTTACAGAACTATATTTGAAGTTCCCATTGTTATTGGGCTTGTGTCTTTTTTTCAGATGTTTGTGCATGCATGTTTAATAATATTTTTTACATGAAACAAAAGATTTTTTATATTTCCATACATTATTTTGTACATGTTATACATGTATGGATTATCTAACAGTAGATATTGTACAGAAATCAACATTTTTAAATGTAATACATGTATATTTATTTTGTATATATAGACATTTATTGAATGAGCTGAATTTAAATTTAAATGTTCAATATATAGTGCTGTCTTAAGTGTGGTACCCTTGTTGATAGTTGAGCTTTATTAATAAACATAATTTCTTAACATCCCAGACACTTCAGTAAAGGTTATGAGGCAGGGAACACATACATGCCACTCTTAAACAAATGGAAGGACACAGTAAATTCAGAATATTTTGGCAATGTTTTTATTTTTGCAAAAATTGGTAGGTTTTGCAGAATAAAACTTACACTCAAAATTTTTAAAGCATTACTTGCGTGCATCATATCCTGAAATCGTGATAATTTTGACTTACATTTTTGTCCAGGTAAAAAATTTCTGAATTTGCAGTACTTCATATGCATATATTTTTTTTCAACCATGTAGGGTTGGCATGTCCTAAATACCGGTAGATAGTTTCAATTGACACAATTTGAGCAAGAGTTACTTCCCTTTTGTCCTTGCACAAATTTCTTCATAAATCAGCCAAATTAAACTTTGTTTTGCTGACTGCTAGACTTTAGAAAAAGTATTTTTCTGAACAATGTTAATTCCTTTAAGCCTTGCTTGATTAATCACTACAATCTAGTAAGGTTCTTTTATCAGACTTGTTTGTACCTCATGTTTCAATTACGATAGTCAAATAGGAAAATCAACCATTTACCCTGCCAAAGTAGCAGCCAAGGGAAATAACTCATACTCCAATTGTGTTACTGGTATATTGAAACCTATCTATATGAGAAAAGTAACAAAATCATTTACTCAACGGTTCTGCTGTAAGGCCACCCTTAAAAATTTCTGTTTGATGTTGCCTACCAATGCCTTGTAGGGTTGGGAAGGTAGGTAGGGATTTTATTTTGTTTTGGCCAACACCATAAGTTGCATGGTTGAGACAAGAAAACAACGTTAGAGAAGGAAAAATCTTTTTTTTAAATTTTAAACAATGTGTCATAAAATTTTCGGTTAAGCGGCTTTATAGGTGGGTAGGTAGGCAAAATCAAACAATTTAAATTTTATTTTTGGCCTAAGTAATTTTTTGTTAAAACAGTTGTATTATGACAAGAATATACAGATATATATCTGTTGATATTCATCTAACCCATTAAGCAATATTCATATTCTGGATGAATGGTACAGTATAAAATGATTTTTCCTGTTTCCATATTTTATAGAAAAAACAGGTCTAGTTAGACTCCTCAGTCTGGTAGTTAATATTACAATTTTTAACGAAAAAGCAAGAATAATACATAATTTTGACAACTCAAAAAGCTTACTGTTTTGTGTACATTTATTCTGAGGACTTTATTCTTTTTTTTACAGATATATGTAATACTTGCATAATTGTTAAAAAAAATCTACACTTATATGGTACTTTTTAGTTTCTTGTATATCACAATGATCACTCAGAGCTAAAAAATGAAAATGGATTTAGATAAAAAAAAAAAAAAACTTACCTACACCAAATGTAAAAAAAAAAATCAATTTATGATGGTATCTTTTTTCCATTTTCATTCATGTTGAAATTACCTTTTTTTAGAAAAAAATTGTGTTTCTTTGAAAGTTATTGATCTCATTCTGTGTTAAATGCATACAAATGTCATTCTTTGTGTATCATAAATAGATATGATGTAAATCCTGTAAATTAAAAATGAAATTTTTTCGGTCAACATAAATGTACTGATCTTAAATGCTACTGTTTAGAACACCAACAAAGGTTGTGATAAAATTTGTTTAATAGTTCATTATAATGATGTTTAATTTTAAGAATTTCACAAGTTTTGACAAGCACAATGTTAATTTATTTATTTATTAAACTGTTAATTGTTACATTTAATATATGTCACAATTTTTTTTTAGTAAATCATGCATAATAAATACAATTATATAAGTGCTATAAATTAAGTTAGAACAAATCACATGGAATTTAATACTATTTGAATGCTAAGCTATCCACATTTACCACACAAACAGTTGATTTTGCTTATAATTAATCCATGTAAAAATGTACCAGGAAGTCTTACTTGATTCAAATAACTTTCCACACATAATTCACACGTTATTACTGGCTGTTTGATATTTCTATCAACAAATTCTTGATATATCAGTTACTGATACAGGTGGTGGTTTATGTGGATTGTGTACCTTGCAAATATTATGAAACTGTGTGGCCTGATTCTAATGAAAAACATATGTTATAGATATATTTGAATATGGAATAATGAATTTTCTGGCCATTTTAGGTGTACAAAGGTGATTTTTTAAGTTCAAGATCTTAAGAGGTATTTTTTTTTCATTTTTGTAAACCAAGATCAAAAAGTTAAAAACAAAAACAATCCTCTATCATGATTAGAAAATGACAATAAAAATTCCCCAAATCCATAGTTCCTGATTCTATTAGAAGAATTATGTAAATTTAGATGCTGTACATTTTTTTTCATTATGAAATGTCATATTAGTTTGACAACATGATCACACAAATAAAATTTAGGGCATTATAACTTTTATTCATAAAGCGTATACAACTAGACAAATTATTGTATCTTCATGCAATAAAAGTCTTCAACTCTGAGGTTAATGTTGCTTCAGTCTCCATAATTTAATTCGTATCTGTGTACATTGAAATAAAGAAGAAGTGTGCATTTTACAATATGAGGTATACATATTGTTGGCAGTCTGCTTGTAACAATACATGTATTTTTCATAGAAGTTTGTGTAATGCACTCCTATTGGAATATCTCTTTGATGACTGAATTCTCAAAAATAATCCTTTCTCTTAAAAAACTTTTTTTTATAAAAAGCTTATGGATCAAATTTTTAAGTGCAAGAAAATAGTATGTATGTGGTTTACTAAGAATCTCATTAACATGTATCATGTCTACAAATAAAATGCAAAAGAGAATTTTTGATATAGGTAATAATAGTCCATTTGCCAATTGCCTTTTTATTTAACTAACGGTCTCACATGAGGCATGATAGTACAAACAAACCATATTAACAGATTTGAATCTGTTATTACACAATTTTAACACAAATTACTTCCCTTTGTCAATCGTAGACTGGTTCTAAACCGAACAAAATTGGCCTCTGCCAACACAAAGTATGATAAGTTAAAGTGGTATATCGAACTTTAAACCAATTGTTAGTGAAAAATAACTACTGATATCAAGTCTTTAGTTTCACAAAAAATTAAATGTAATTGAAAGATTTGAAAAACTTGAAGGTTACATACATTATGTACAGATGCGTTTTCCACTAGCTCTTCATTGTCAATGAAAATTAATTTCCCTTGTAAGGGAGACAACATAAAATTGGTTTCCGAATTACAGGATCAATTACGGGAATTGGCAATTAGACTATTGGCAAAGATTGTATTATTTCCTTCTGATCTTGTATTGTTAAATGTCTTGGAATATGTTCTTATTTATATTTTTTTGTTAGAATTTCATTATATCATGGTGCTTTTATATGATCTTGTTGCATTTTATTATTTTATACATTTGTTCATATACATTTCCCTTAACATGTGCACTATTATGTTGATTATTTACCTGTATGAAATGACAATTTTATCATGTTTATCATGTTTATATATAAATTTGCAAATGTGACTGTAATTTCACTTTCCAAAAAATACTAACTTGCTATTCAAGATACAAAGTTAGCACTAAAAATAATGCATTTAGACTTGTAAATTGATCATGTCTGAATGCAAACTATTTCATTGTTCTAGAACAAAAGGGAAATGAAGAACTTCTTTTAGAGTTCTTGCGATTCCTTCAATTTTCGTAAGTTAACTTGATTTGTCTTATTAATTGATTTATGAAATTTGAAAAAGGTAAACTACTGCCTAAATTTATCTGAATAATTTTATGGGTTTACTCCCCTTGCAATGAAAATTCCATTAGCTTCAAGAAAAAAAATTTGTAGACAGGGCAGATTCATCATCGTTAATCTATATTTTGATTATCTCCCTTTCAGTATTAGAAAAAATGTATGATTTGGTATTTGGCATCCTTTTCTGAGGGCTTCATGTTAATATTTTCACAAAGCTTGGGTGTCATTTCATGTCATATGGTTAGTATAAAAAATGATGAACAATACTGTATGGTTCAGATCAGAAAGCAATTTTCATGTGTTGTATTAATAAACGACAAAACCCACATCCTATCAGAATTTAGGATTATTTGGATTGATTGAATATATTTAAGTTGGTTCATAAAGATGATAAGGTTAACTGCAAGTAATGTTTTTGTTCTTTCTAGTGGTTTTCAACTATCCCTTTTTATATCAGTAACAATTTTAAACCTGGCTCCAAGGGTGGTGGGGTGGATGAATTATTTACCTTTGTCTGTCTGTCCATAATATTTTCTAGTCACATTTTCTCACCAACTGATCAGACCTTCTTGATATTTGGTACCAAGCTTTATATTGGTAAGCTTTACTGTGTGACAAAATTTCAGGTCCACCAATTATATAATTCCTGTTTGCTGCATACATTATAAAAATAAGAATATGTATGTTCTCCACATTGATGCACATAAAACAATTCATAATGTTAACAATGTTTAATTGTGAAAATAGTAACATAACCATTACATGTACAAATATGACAGTTGTATTAGGATTGGAAAACAATTGAATTTTCACTTTTACAAATTATCCAGAAATTCTTTAAGAGCCTGGATATAAATTAGTAAGCAGTAGCTTACTTCATTTTGATTAACTCCTCATTCTTAACTGCAGATAATATTGAGTAATAGATATAGAGGAGCTGAGTTGCCCTTATAGAGAATCAAATATGGTTAATGCATAGAAATTTTAAGAACAACAAATATATAAATCATAAAGAGTTGGCTCCCCTTTTCAAAATTCTGGATTCACCACTAGATTTGGGTCAGTTAATTGTAATGAATTGTTTGAAATATTATCAATGTATAATTCCTAATAGTTCCTTACACTCCTCCTTTTGATAAAACTCTCTTTACATTATCATTACAGTACTTATTGCATTGAAGCATTATTATATATTATGTCATTGTTTTTCACAATATTGTAAAACCTGGAAATATTGTAAGTGTATTTGTATATATACATATGTAAAAGAAAATATTGTTAGAAATTATCGAATGACAACATAATTTTTGTTTTAGTGCAATTTTACTTAAAATAGGTTGTTTTTATTCTCTTAGCATGCTTTTATGAAGAATTTTTTCAACAAAAATCTTCAATAAAATGAAAAAAAATAATAAAATGTTCAGCTACATGCATCTGTTTCTTCATTAAGGTAATAGAATCAGTATAGAAATATTTTTGATATGAAGGAAATACCCAAAATAGCAATCAGCAAGTCATTTTACCAAATAAGCACAACTTTAAAAAAAACTGAGCTGGGGTAGCCTGAGATATGAATACAAGAATCCAGTGAGACTGCAATCCCTTCTACAAAAACGAAAAGACATCTAGAGGTCAACATACACAGAATGTCAGGAACCTGATGTTCAGTGGTTGTCGTTTGTTGATGTGGTAAATAAGTGTTTCTCGTTTTTTATATAGATTAGACCGTTGGTTTTCCTGTTTCAATGGTTTTACACTAGTCATTTTTGGGGCACTTTATAGCTTGCTGTTCGGTGTGAGCCAAGTCTCCGTGTTGAAGGCCGTACTGTGACCTATAATGGTTTACTTTTACAAATTGTGACTTGGATGGAGAGTTGTCTCATTGGCACTCATACCACATCTTCCTATATCTATCATTCTCTGGAGGCAGCTTTGGTACAAATTGTGCACTGAATATTGTTAAGGAACACCGTATCACAGGAAAATGTGTCATGGAATACACAGTATGATAAAGAAATATATATATATTAGGTACACAAGTTTGTAATTTAATAAAAACGAAGATGGTTCTGCTTGATGCAAAAGCTTGAGAGAAGCTGTAACCTAATGTTCAGTTAATTATTTGTATAATTCAGAAGATAACAGATCCATTAGACCAAACTAACACATGAGTGAGCAAGTAGTATAGGGTATATAGAGTAAATGCCAATCAAACAGCAACCCATCAACTAAAGTATTCCTAAAAATATACTTCTAGTGGTCATTTTCTGTTGCCATTAAGCAAACAAAAATCAATCGATCAATCAGTGGTGATCATATCATATTAACAATTATAGATGGATGATTGTTTAACATCCAGTGGAAAATTAAATTCATATTCAGGATGAAAACATGATAATGTTATGTGAATATAAACCCTAATGTACTAAAATTGAGAATGGAAATGGGGAATGTGTCAAAGAGACAACAACCCGACCAAAGAGCAAAAAACAGCCGAAGACCACAATATTTAATGGTTAGTTCACAACAGTCCATAGGAAGACATGTCACCTTACTTAGACACATTATTCTGACTATGAACTGAGCAGTCTTCGCTCTTACTCCTAAATAACGCTTGCTTATCAGAGATGCAGGAAATACCCAATTTTCAGGTATCAGTTTTGACCCAGCTTTTGATTGAACGCACGACCTCTCGCACTCAAAGTCTAGCTTGATACTGTACTGCAGTTATATTTATCAATGAACAAATGTTTCAACCATAATACAAGCTCTAGATCATCCAGAATTTTGATAAGACATGATTGACTTCACCAGCCCCAAAGACAAACAAGATATGACATCAATCAAATGTCTCTATGGAAAAAAGACAGGAACAACCATTGACAAAACAAACTGGTTTTATACTTTTTTTGAAAATTTTCATTCTTTTAGCTCACCTTGACTACAAGACCATGTGAGCTATTGCCATTACTTGGTGTACATCGATGCCCTTCGGTCATTATAAACATTATAAAATCTTCACTTCTGAAACCTTTGGATTAAATGTTACCGGACTTTAACTAAATGCTCCTTCAGAATCTATTTTTAAAATTGTATTCCGGGATTTGAACCCTCAACAATCATTGCTGCTGTTGCTTAAAATGGAACATAGAGGTAAATTGTAGTTTTAAAGCAGTTAGAACAAAAACTGACAAGGTTATATGATCAGTAGGTCAGGGGTATTATCTATGGAATTCCGACAACCCATTATTGGCTCCGAGATGTAAATTATTCGCAAATTTCACAATTTTAATTTATCTTTAAAATTATTAAAGAGAAAAACTTTTTATATAAAAAAAATACCAGAACATTTTTTTTTGCATTTTGTCAAAAAAAAAATAGAAGGTAAAGAGAAACTTTTAAAGTTCTATAATAATGTCCGTTTGAATTTGCATAGTGACTTAAATTCGAAATTTTAATCTACTTCTCATCAATCTATTTTTCTACTGAAGTTTTTTTCCAGAAGCTCCCTGGACTTAAGCTGCATATATTTATGGTGTATTGGTATGTGAGTCTTAATAAATAATAAAATAATTCAGGAATTTATTTCCATAGCAACATTTCATACCAATTTTTCATAACACAATACATGGCCTGTTTATATAGTTATTTTTTCATAATTGCTATTTACTGGAATTCGTGTGAACTTATAGCCAGAAGGGCTCTCGAGGAAAAAGTGGCAACAAGTGTTTGCAGGGGAAGAATTTTTTTGCCATCAAATTTTCTACTGTTTCGTCGTATTTCCCTTTAGCCGTGGCATTGTCCGTTTTTCTTATACATGGTTTTAGTTGTCCGTTTTGTACATTTGTACTATGTTTAAACATATTGAATATTAGAACATTTTCAGCAGATGTATGGTTATACATTAAAATTCATATACTTTTTGTACAACTCAAAAATTATTTTTGAATTATTGTCATCCACCTCAGAACATGCGTCTGCCAGCTAATTTTACGTTCAAAGAATTGTACCTTAAGAAATAAAATTGTCTTGGTTTATTTTCATGCATATGTCTTGCAACAAAATTATCTTTAACATCAGAAAGAGATAAACATTACCTTTATTTCTTGCTTGAGTGACCTCAATTGTGCCTAAACTCGATTAAATGACCGACATTTTCCTCTGAACGGAATTTTGTGTTTTCGTAATATTTGAAATGAGATTTTTTTCATAAAAATCCATTTGTTGATGGGTTTTATGTTAAAATTTACGTCAAACTTTATATCTTTGATGAAAAAAAAAGAAACTTTTGAATTGCTTAACGTCTGCACAACACGCGTTTCTGGAATAAACGTCACCATTTTAACTTTGTCTGAGGAAGTTGCAACCTTAGTTTTATCACAATTACATAACAAACTGAATATTAAAATCAAACCGAAATCTATAGATGAACCCATACTAATCTGTTTACTACATCCATCCTTTGTAAGGTTGTATAGTTTCCAGATGCAAGTATTGTATCTATGACCATATAGTTAAAAAAAATCATGCCTTTTTAGCTCACCTAGCTAGCACCAAAGGCCAATTGAGCTTTTTTCATCACTTGGCGTCCGTCGTCGTCTGTTAACTTTTACACAAATATTCTCCTCGTATGTGTGTGTGTGTTGGGGGGGATGAAATTTGAAAAAAAGGCAGGACAGGAGTTTTGAGTAAAAAAAAAAGGCAGGATGAGACATTTTGCCAAAAAAAAAGAAAAATCAGGATGACAATTTATGTAAAAAAAAGTCAGGATAAACTAATAAAAAAATAAGGCAGGACCAAATAGAGTGAAAAATAAAAAGGCAGGACAGAGATTACAACTAAAAAAAAAATGCAGGACAAAATTTTTCGTCCTAGCCCCATAAAAATCAAATGGTAGCTCCCTTAGTGCGCTTTTAAAAAAAAGATGGCATTAACACTTATGTTGGCAAAGGAAAGCGTAAGGAACATGTTCTTTTGTTCATAACGAAAACAAAAAGATCTAAAAAGTCATTCGTTGGCAACCGTTAAAATAATTCTGTAAAAAAAGGGAGGCGAAAGATACCAAGGGGACAATTGAACCTAATAAGTCGAATTAAACTGACAACGGCGTGGCAAAAACGAAAGACAAACGAAATGACAAACAAGTCAACAAAATATAAAAAGAAGAAGATGTGGTATAATTGCCAATGAGACAACTCTCCACCAAAGACACACTACATAGAAAACTAAAGACTAAGCAACACGAACCCTACCAAAAACTGGGGTGAGTAAGTATTGTTCTTTCTGACCTCTTCAACCAGGTAGTATTGTAACCTATAGACTGTTAGTTTTAATAGTGAGTTGTTACGGTAATGGAAGATTGAAATATTTTTTGGAATAGTTGATTTGAACCTTGTCTGAATATGCCATAGATTGTACTCTTTAAAACGGCTCGAATGGTCCTCAGTAAAATGAATATTTATTTTTCTTCCAAATATATCCAAAAAGTCACTATAGACTTTAATGTATCTTTTATTTAAAGTTCAATTATACGATCAAGCTAGTAATGAAACATTTGATTATTCAATGAAAAGACATCTTCTTTAGGGGTTATACCACTATAAACGTATTTACACTTTTGGTATTTAGCTATATTTTGCCTCCGAATGACCTTAGATCTACTCCGCATCACCTTTTGACGTCAGTCAACAATCACTTTTTAATTATGACGTCAAATGTTTTGAATTATGATGTCAAAGTTTACGGGAACCTGTGTGATTTTACGTAATGGCGGACAAATTTGCATACAAGTGTAAATACGTCTATTGTTTCCCTCCGCGTAATAGTAAGTCTTTGTTAAATTATGATTTTCAAAATTTGTGCAGAATTTTGCTTACTTTCAAATAAAAAATACTTGGCATACATCAAGTTTTATCCTTTTGAGTACTACAGTGAAAATTTCACTCAAGGTTTCATTGCATATAAGAAAATAAACTTCCTTTCATGTTTACAGGCATTAGGTACTAGGTCAATGCAAATAAACAACACCAAATAAAAAAGAAGGGTTCCTTAAAACACCCAATATATATGTTTATGACTCAGAAAAAAATCATCTGCAATGAAATGCATGTTTAATTTCCTACAACTCTAAAAATCAAGGGTTTAATTTTTCTTGTCCTATTTTAAACCGGATATGACATATTATGTTTTGGTCACGTATTACACCTTTAACGGAACGTGAAGTTCAGGATAATGCTAGATTCCCATAATCCATTTTTCTTTAAAAGCCTCAAATGAAGTCGGCCCAATACGTAATAATTAACCAGTTAGCGAGAGGATGAACACTGTTGGTTCTGAACAGTAGTTTACCAATGTTCACATCTTATTACTCGATAAAATGGCACCAAGGTAACACATAAATACTTAGGGAATCACATTCACTCCAAAAGGAG